ACGCTAGAAGGGAGGAATAGGCTGCAATCGGACCTAGGCAGGTTACAGGGGTGGGCGGATGAGAACAGGATGGGATTCAACACTGACAACTGAAAGTGATGCACCTGGGGAGGAACAACTGGCACCACACCTACAGGTTTGGGAACTCCCTTCTCGTCAGTACAGAGACGGAAAAGGATCTTGGAGTCATCACTGATGCCAAAATGAACATGAGCCGGCAGTGTGGGGATGGAGTTAGGAAGGCCAACCACACCTTGTCATGCATCCACAGATGCATCTCAAGCAGGTCCAGGGAGGTGATACTTCCCCTCTATGCGGCACCGGTCAGGCCGCAGCTGGAGTACTGTGTCCAGTTCTGGGCGCCACACTTCAAGGAGGGATGTGGACAACATGGAGAGGGTCCAGAGGAGGGCCACCTGCATGATCAGGGGACTGCAGGGCAGGCCCTACGAGGAGAGGCTACGGGACCTGAACCTGTTCAGCCTCCACAACAGAAGGCTGAGGGGGGAACTTGTGGCCTGTTACAAACTAGTCAGAGGGGACCAGCAGGCACTGGGGAAGTCCCTGTTCCCCCGAGCACTACCAGGAGTGACCAGGAATAACGGTCACAAGCTGGCAGAGGATAGATTTAGGCTAGATATCAGGAGGCGCTACTTCACGGTCAGGGCGGCTAGGATCTGGAACCAACTTCCAAGAGAAGTGGTGCAGGCTTCTACTGTGGGGGTCTTTAAGAGGAGGCTGGATGTACACCTTACTGGGGTGGTCTGACCCCAGTACTCTTTCCTGCCATGGCAGGGGGTTGGACTCCATGATCTGCTCAGGTCCCTTCCAACCCTAGAAACTATGAAACTATGATTGCTGTCCTCAAGCCTGATGCTCCAGCCAGTTTTCTATCCACCTTACAGTCCATTCATCCAGCACATACTTCCTTAGCTTGCCTGCAAGGATGTTGTCGGAGACTGTACCAAAGCCTTAGTAAAATGAAGGCATGTCACAAGCAATTCTAACGTCAAGCAAGTCAGTCATCTCTTGAGCATGATACCTTCTTTAATGACATAGTCACACACAAAAATTTTTCACAGGGCCACTACCTCAATCAGGGCATAACTGCCTGCTTTGGAAATGAACCATGGGTCGATAGCAAATGGTACTATTTATTGTCTGTAGGACCCCTACCTCATTTGTCACAGATGCTGCAAGGCAGGGGTGTCAAACTCATCCAACCCTGTTGGGCTGGACCGAGGACCAGTCTGGCCTCACCGGAGCCAACGCACAGGGTTGGCTGGTAGAAGTGCTGCATGCAGAGCTCTCCTAACATCCACCCCCATGCCATGTGGAGCATGCGCTGACCGTTTGGGGGCGTGTGGTCTGGAACCAGGGGTGGAGCTACATGGGGTGTACACTGCACACAGAGCAAGATCATGTGGCTGGCCCATGCTGGCCCCATGTGTTGCCTGCAGTGTGGCTAGCACATGCTACAGGTGGTGTGCGGGTTTTGACTAGCTGCATACACTGTCCACAGCTCAGGTGGCCAGCACAGGGTGTGCTCCAGAACAAGTCCACCAGGACGCAGCACACACCCTGGGCCAGCCCTGCTGGACTGCATGCAGCACTTTTGTGCTGGTTCCAACCCATGCATCAGACTAGCATTACGGGTCAGTCTAAGACCCACACACTAGATCACACAGCTCCGCTGGCTGGATCTGGCCCATGGGCCATACAGTTAACACTCTTGCTTAAGGTTTATAGTGACTGAAGCAGATTTTACCAAAACAGAAGTAGGACCTGTGTTGTCCTTAGTTTTCAGGACCTGGGGAATCAGATTCTTACCCTGCCTTTGCTACAGAGCTCCTTCATAAGGCTGAGCAGAACAGTTGCACCGCACAAGATCACCTGCACACAGCTTGGGCATCCCAGGGCTACTTTGCAGATAGCCCAAGCAACTGCAATAACTACTGCACCACAAGCTGCACTGAAAACATCGGGTGCTAACTGAGTAACTTAATGTCCCGCATAACACTTGGGGGGAGCGTGGGCTTTGCTTTTGGCAGCCCGACCAGCTGAAATGCAGCTGGCTGTCACAGTGGCATTCTTCAGGCCAGCTCCCTGAAACTTAGTTACCCATGTTGGGCTGAAGTCAGGTACAAGGCAGGGTAGATTCCCACCTTACAAAAAAAACAAAAGGACAGAATAGCAGCTCAGGAGGCTTTCCCCTAAGGGCTCCCATGCAGGCTGAGGTGTCAAGCTGCATCAGCGCCAGCACTGCCAGGTCTATGATAATCATCCTATCTGTGCAATCGTTTCAACCCCTGCACGATATACAATAGATAACAGTAAAAGCGTTCAAAACATACAATAATTTTTGAAGCAGCTAATTGACACAGCATATGCAAAACCCAGTTCTGAGGGAGTCAACCCACTTCTGGGTTTGCTGTCAGCACTCTCTCACAACAGCTTGCCCTCAAATAAAGAAACGCTTCAACTTGACGGCCCACTTCTCACTCACTCCAGAGTCAGTGAGTAATAGAACATAAAGGCGGCGGCTCATTTAAATCCTTATGTCCTTCGGTTTTTGTTTCAGCATACAACATTTTCAGCAAATACGATCATTTTGAGCTTCCAATAGGATCATTTCATATTTAAGACCTGGCAACGCTACCCCCCTCGCCCCTCCAGAGCGGGGACGCACGACCACCACCAAAAGGCACGCACATACGTACTACAGCCTTGCTCCGGCCCTACTCACATGCGCATGAAGCTCCGAGCAACGGGGACGCATTGCGCACGCGTAGAAGTGTCCCAACAGACACGGCCCTTACCCCGACTGAGATCTGCCCATGCGCGTATGGAAGGGGGGGGAGTACCTGGCGCATGCGCAGTCAGGCCCGGAGAATGTGTGCGTGGGTTTAAGTCACGTGACGGCCCCGTCGTCCTCCCCGGCGGAGCCACGTCCTCTGCGGCGGTCGGCAGGGGTGGGGCTAGCGGCGGGGCGTGGCGTGACGTGACGCGGAGGGGTGGCCGGTGCCCGGATGGAGGCGTTCGCCATTCGTACAGTGCCGCCAGCAGCCGAAGGCACCCCACAGCTGTCGCCATGAGGCTCCTATCCCGCCTGCTGCTGCTCGTGCTCCTGGCCTTCCCCGCCGCCCTCCTGCTCGGCGGCGCCCGCGGCCCGGGTGAGAGCGCGCGGCGCCTCGGGGGGGGGAACGGGACGGGACCCGCTGCCGTTGGCTTTCGAACGCAGCACCAGCAACCGCCGCGCGGGGCCCGGGGGGGCGGGGCTTCCCAGTTGCCTGGGGGCGATGAGTCGGCCCCGGCCTCGGGCGGACGTGTCCTGCCCCGCCCCCCATTCATTCCCCACCTCCGCTCCGGGGGGGCGGGGGGATCCTTGCCCCGCTGACGGCCAGGGCAGGGGTGGGGGTGGCTGGGAGATGAGAGAGAAGCCCGGGCAACAGAGTTCCTCTCTG